GGTTCCTTAGCGACAAGGGTGGTGAGACTTCATCCGACATACTTTGGACCCTTCAGGAGAGACCAGTCCCTGGAGAAGGACATCATGCTTGGCCAAGCAGAAGGGCAGCGAAAACAAGGAAGACCAATGGCTGGGGCCCGTGGCTCTCACCCCAATTGTGAGGAAGCTGCCGGACCAAGCGATGTTTCCCTCTGTTGTCCACAGGGGCGCTGTGGGTCCGAGCCAGCTCAAGGGCACCTAACGATAACAACAACAATTTGAGGAATTAGGTCATCAGATCTTTCTTCTTCATTTGTCTTGGTCTGGAATTTTCACTGAAACCTGTCTCCCCAGCGTGAGCTTGCTGGCATTTGAAATACTGGTGCCATAGTTTCCAGCATCACAGTAACACGCAGCCACCACAGAATCCATTCTTTCATTTAACTGATGTGACCGTTAAGGTGATAAATTTTCTCTCAGCATTGTGTTAGTTACCACAGGAAGCTCGACGATGGGGTGTTCCTAGTTGCACTGCAAGTTTTGCTTGTGTTTACTCTTCCAAGAAAGAACTCTTCAATGAGAGTGGTTTTGTTTGTTTTGTTCTTAATCCCCGGTAGAAGAAGTGTTCCCAGTTGTTGATCTTAACATTGGTTTCTAATTGTATGACCTTGAAGTCTTATGAAGGTTTTCCTTGTGGCTCGGTACGTGGCCGGTTTTATAAAAGGGTCATCGGTACAGTCTCTCATTTCAGGCTGGAGTACAATTCATATTAATCACAGTAACAATCACGGTGTCTTCTCCATTCTCTCATATGTCTCCCCTTAATCTGACAGGGACTCAGAGAAATGAACTGAAGTCTTCCCTACCTACCATGTGCTTCTATGTATTCTTGTATTTCCCGTGGTTTCTGCTTTGTAAACACCGAAGCTCGGTGTAATTTTGCACACAGGCCTTCTCACAACTGCCACCTTGAAGCATTTCCCATGATAACATGGTTGCTTTGTCTCACAGAGCCCTGGTGGTATAGTGGTTACACGTGGGCCTGCTAACGGTAAGGTCAGCAGTTCGAAAGGTGAGGCTTGTATTCCTCCAAACGAGTTACCGTCTCCACAAGGCACAGGCGCGGCTCTAGCCCTGTCCCACAGGGTCACCGTGAGCTGGCACAAGCC